GTAGATTAAATTAACATTCTTTAAGACGATTTGCAAATATTTTAACAATGCGTAATATCAATAATAATAGCTTGGAACATGAATAGAAAAACGAAAGTATAATTTTATTAAATATTAACTAGATTCTAGTTTTTATTATCAGCAAAGTAAATAAAAAATAATTCGGCGAAACCTTAATAATATTAATTTTAATATTTTTCGACCTTATGTTGCCCTTATTATTAGCGAAAATGAAATGTAATTATTTTTATTTAGAAATATAATAGAAACGTGGTTTCTATTTGAAAAATATTTTAAGTAATCTTATCATGTAAGACACACTTTATTGGATTGGCGATCCTAAGTCGGGGACTTACGGACGACGGAGAGAACATTTTTCGATCAAACTTCGAAATTAATTTTGAAGTTTCCATCTGACCAGCGCCGCAGCGCTGCGCCGCATTGAACGCTAGAAGTACCGCCAACTGTTGACCAGTCTAGTCTCAAACTTATAATTTTATAGCTCAACTTTGCCACAATCATTATTGGAACTATGTATTTTGTAACTTGCAGTTCCAATAAAATGTTCAAGTTTAAATTGTCAACAATTTCAATTCCTAATAGTTATTCTTTTTTTGTATTTCGACAAAAGTTGAGTATGTAAAATAGAACAGACCTTTTTGGAAGGCAAGCTTTATTCTAAAAGATTGATTTTTTTTACATTATTCGCTGTGTAGAGGTTTATAATTAAGTTAAGTTTTACTATTAAATCGCAAATCCGCACATCTTATTATAGACACAGTTATTTCTAACTATACTAATATTAAAAAGATTTGGATATTTGGATGTTTGGATGTATTAAAACTCCGATTTCAAAAATTCTTTCACTGTTAAAAAGCTACATTATCAGTGAGTAACATAAACAAAGCTTCTTTTTTATGTTTTGTTTTCACGCGGACGAAGTCGCGAGCAACAGCTTGTAATCTATAATTTAATTATGCGCAATCCCACATATTGCTGCATTCCGTAGCTAAAATTACCCCATAACGTGCTTCAATACCTTACCCTATTAACGTTTTAATAATGTAGAGTAATCGGCAAGTGAGCCAACCCTCTCGAGGCCTGCGGGATACATTTCTAGTTCATACCGTTACGATATAAGCTGAAGGAAAATGTCCTATGATTTTTATCAAACAAACCAAAATAGTTTCAAAAAGCTTAAAAATGTAAACGTGAAATCTAATCCAAACATGTATTTATTTGATCTCATTGTATATACAATACATTGTTTCTGTTAATTTGAAGTGTCATAATACATACAAGAACATTTTTGCTAGCTTTGTTTTCTTTCAAATAATCCGAGAGAGACATGTTTTTTCCATATTATCTGTATGTATATTGCACGAAGACTTACGATTCGAATCTAGATATCATAATTTAATAACGTGAAAAGTGCCTCATCCTGTATCAAAGTGTACATATTCGTAAGTTAATACAGACCGCTCCATAACACACGGCGCGGAAATACTTTCCGGATTTCCGGCGGCGGAGCATCGCGCCATTACTATTGATGCTTAGTACACTACGGCCTTACCCTAAGCGCATTAATTATTACATTCTCACTCTGAGAGCTATTTATTATGTAACATGAATGTACCTTTTTATTTTTTCATTAATTTCTTTACATCCCTTTCTCGACCCTTGCAATAAAAATTTAAATAAAATGTTAATTCAAATAGGTTAGGTACGTGTTTTATGGTGGTATGTGCTAAAAAATTGTTTCTTTATATTTAGCAAAAGGTAACTTATTTTTTAATTTTCTTTTTCTTGCTAAACCAGCTTAAAAATTATAAATTGTTGCCAGATTAATTTTCAAATTAATTAAGAACGAAATTCCGAACAGGAAATCTGAATATAAAATTATATAACTTAGATGTTTTTTGCTAATACCAAAACTAATCTAACTCGTCGATAAATATTTATCAAAATAAATAGATTATAAATTTTATCGCTAAATATATTACGTGTTATACAACGATAGTAAATACACGAATAGTATAATAATAGAATAATACAATATTGAATTTACTGAAAGTTTTTGCCACATATAATATTCACACATACGTAAGATGTAAGACCACAACACGATGCGAATACATCTTTTTTACTGTCTCAATAACTGTCATTTTAATAAAATACGATTGCTGAAAATGAAATCCTGAAGCACATATCTTATGTAGATTTTTATAATTCCCTGCATGTGGGCCGCAGAGTGAGGTATGAAATTGTATTTTATTTTAAGGACGCCGTAAATCTTCACACACAAGCTATAAAATGAAAAGAAGCCTTCATTCAAGTGTGTGCTGAGCTCGAACATAAATTTAATATTTTCCAACAATACGTTATATCTATTTTGTTAATACAACACTTTGAAGTAATATCTTTTAAAAATTTATAGTACATTTTATCGGTCAACTTTTCAACGAAAAATCTTAATTCATTTTTAACCTTTTTTATACATATAATAAAATTGTAGCGTATATTTGTAATATAAAAAGAAAAATTCCAGATTTCGGGAAGATGATATATTTGAGTTGCTGAGAACGAAAATCGCTTTTTTTTTGAAGCAAGCCGTGTTTGTACCGGGTAATCTCAGAAACGGCTGGGAAGATTTAGACCGGACTTTCACTGAAGGGTAAATGACATAGTTGGGTATATTATAGGCTACTTTTGTATCTTAAAATTGCTTGAACGAAGTCGTAGGCAACAGCTAGTATAAACATAAAATGAACCAAAACTGTTACTATTACAAATAGATACTAATGAATTTCTTGGTTTCAAAATCAAATACTGTATATCTGTATTAAAATACCTCAAATATAAATTATCAACCGAAATGCGAAGCCCCTTTAAATTGAAGGCATAGGTAAAGCTCACATACGGCGGTGGATTGAAAATAATCCAAGTAGAAAATTAATCCTTGATTACGTCCCATTTCTATCAAGATTTGAGTAGCGATCAAGTGACTTACTATATATGGAAGTGGCTTTAAAGGATGTATGATTTCAAATTCCCATTTCAGAAGTAAATGTTACACATATAAAATAGTTGAAACGGCATTAAAATTAGATTTAAAATGAGGTTAATATACAGTAAAAAATTTCTTCTTTTTAAAATCTAGTGGCAATGAGAAAAAAACACATAAGAACTAATGTATCCCGTCAGTTTACTTCTAGTTTTAAATTTAGTAAAAACATCTCATTTGCTAAGGTTAAATAAAATAACATGTAGATGAACATCATATCACTTCTAGTTTTACAAGATCAGTGTACATACGTTTGAAAATGTAATATTTGTATGCTACAATTTCCGTTGGATTTAGGTTTATTGAAGAAGCTGACACAAGCAACATAATTTCTCTCTCAAATAAATCTATTACGTTTACATCTTTGATTAAGAATTAATAGAATGTTTTATCGCAAAATGTACCAAACTGTTTTAGCGTTTTCAATATGATCGATACAAAGATTTTTATAGTTTTTTTTCATAACAAATAAACGACTTCATATGAGGCTCTTCTTATCTAATGGATGAAGAAATTTTCTATTCCATAATACTTTATTAGCAAAGATATGTGGACAATTGTAAGGTGGATTAAATGCCTATTTTCACAATTTAAAAACCCAAAAATGTTCATTGTTAAGCAAAGCAAATACATGGTTGAATAAAATATCAATAGTGTCACGTGGCAATTTATATTTTCGCCAGCGATCCCCTCACTAAGAGATCAATTTCGCGCTTGGACAATTTTAATGTAAACTTAAGTGCCTAGGGGAGATGGCAAATGAAAGCCGGGCCCGGTGCGTTAACAAACGTCTCTCTGTTATTGAATTCTTCGTTCTGACATCTAAGTAATTTTAGACTAAATTCCACGATGCCTAACAGACCGCCAGTAAAATAATATTAACAATCCACAATCAAATAGAAAAAATAACACCCTGTAATTTTCATTGTGACGGACTAAAAATAGTCTTCAAAAAATGAACAATGCCTTATTGTTTTTAAAAGAAATCTATTGATAAATTAAAAAAAATAAAGATAGGGAAGGTATCCGTGGCCATAACGTGTGGGACGCGTAAACTGGTGTTCTGGTCAGCACAATTAAGGGACCTCATTCGACCTGTACTAATGGAATTTTATCCAATTAAATTTTAGGGTTACATGGTGGAATTTGCCGACAGTAAGCAAATTGAGTTTCGTTACGACCTACTGCACACCTTTATTATACTCGGAATGTATCATTGACACGATTTTGTCTGTACCAAACTTTATCTCTACTTTTTTGACATTGAAGATAGAAAAAAGTAAATACTGGTTTGAAATTTTACTATGACTTTATCTGAAAACTATCATTATGTAATGAATGATTTAATTATCTTTTATCAAAATGGGGTTGAGGTCAAATATTAAGGTAATGCCACACGAGCGTTTACGATGTGTTTGATCTGTCAAAGAATTTTCTCTACTGAAACCTTACCAACCTAAGAAACATATTGTTATCTCACTTTTATCTATTAGAATAAGAGGGACAGCAATTTTTCTACGTGTTTTTCGACAGTCGAAACCTATGGATAAATTTTAGCGAACATCTGTAATGGCATTGACTAACCGTGGTGACGCAACATAGATCTGCGACAACTCACTGGTGTTTAGCCTTAAGCTTCAAAGACAATAGATTTAAAAATTGATACTGGCAAACTGTGAGACATTGTACCGTATAGGCGTTTTTAAAGTGTTTTAGTTACTATTTAAAAAGTAATGTTTTGTATTTAATAAAAAATTATCTGAAATTAGTTTTACCGTTTATAATCTTATCGAGTGAACGTTATGTGATGTGCATACCGTAGAGCCTAATTAACTTTTGTGCGATTTCATTTCTATCTATACAGATAAAGTCAATCATCGCGAATAATCTTTTTAATAGTTCACTATAAATACAATTTTGACACGTGTATTATCATTTGTTCTGTAATCTTCAGAGTAGACGTGCAAAATGCCGCCGAACGTTGTTGAACCAACTTTCTCTGCCGAGCCCGAAATTGGTGTTGCAAGTAAAAGTCAGGTTCCAGCAAAGCCTCAAGAGGGAATCAATTATAATTTGTACATATTTAGTACTACGTTAAATCTCATAGCTCATATATTGATCGGTGTTGTCGTGGGTGTTGCGGTGTTGTTTTCATTGAGGAATGGTTTGCCTATGGGAGCGACATCTATGCATGTTATTCTGTGCGTTATTGGGGTAAGTCAAACAAATACTTTTGCACCTCCTTCAAATAAAAAATAATATCAAATATAACCTATGTTACTCAGTGATAATGTAGATTTCATATGTCAAAATATTTTTTGAAATCAGTCCAGTAGTTTTGGAGTTTATTCGTTACATATAAAAATATAAAACTTTCCTTTTTATTATACTAGTACCATTTGCAATTGTGAATTAAAAAATAACTACTGAAATTAGAATCCCGGTCCATCTTAATATTGTTCAAGCTAAGTATTAAGTTTACTATAATTTTATAAAAGTTTTTCTATAAAATATCTTTTCATTTTATTATAGTTTAAAATTAGTTGACTAGTGATAAAAATAAACTCGAATTCACATACGACGCGTACACTCACTAACAAAAGTATTTTCAAAAATGCGAGTATATGCAGTTTGTCAATTGAATAACCTAAAATTTATTCTGTAATAACCTTTTAACCCGGAAAAACTATGATTACGATATAATAATATTAGTAGTCATTATTTTAAGTTTTTTTTTCCTTATCTTTTAGCACCAATTACTTATGGCGGAATCTATACTTAGTCTTTATTCTGAGAACGGTTGGTCTACAAAATTGAGACTGGTCGACAAACGTCGTGCTCATTGGATTCTACAAATTCTGGGTTCGGGAATAGCTCTGGCAGGAAATTTTATCAAGATTATAGACAAAAATGTCCACTGGAACACGTACCATGGACAATTCGGTAAGTAAGAGAAATTAACACTATGGTATATTTAGTATACAATTTAGCTGCTGTCTTTAGTATAGAGGACTGGTAGGAAGTAATGGCAGAAGAAAAAATGCTGAATCCTCGAGTTGAGAAAATAATAAAATAATTTATAAATTTCATCCCGAATTCTGTCATAAAATTGGCGAGTTAAGTCCCCAACATTTTATATTATCATCGGCTATTTATTTATCTTTGATAACAAACCGTTAACGTATATAATTATTATCAAAATTTGAAATTATTCACATTTTTATCTCAGATAAAAAAATTGTAATCATATTACTCTACTAACTCACTTCCTTTGCGGATAATTACTCTATTTTCAATAAAATTATTAATATGTTTTACATTTTATGCAGCAATTGCAATAATATTAATGTTGCAACCGTTGGCACATCTGTGTAATAGTATATCGTCATCTCGGTCATTCCCTTTGAAACAGCAGGGATGGCAAATGAAATTAATTTTGCCGTTAAAACATACTCTCTCTTTCAGCGTTGGTGGCAATTGTCTTCACCGTCGCCAGTTTAGTGAATGGTTTGACGTCATTATACGCATACGAGTGGCGTAGACTATTCAACGGCACTATCTCCAAACTGACGCACATTTGCTTCGGAATCGTTGCATTCGCCGCTTCCAGCATCAGTCTCTGTTATGGATTTGATAAATTCTTCTTCAGAATTTGGGCAACACATCCCTTCACTGATGCACTGATTGCCTTCACCGGCATCTTCACTTTTATAGTTATTATCAACCCTTTTATTACATTCTACTCAAAAACAATGAATGCTATAAGAAAATAAGTTTAAAAATGATTAGGCGAAGTTTTATCATTGTATATTTTATATATTCTTCAGACACTTAAAATTATTTTGTTTTATTGTATAACATTCATTTACATCACCTGAAAGAACAATGTTTCTATCTACAAACATAATGGATCATTTTCTCGTAGCTTTTGTTTCATTATAGCGCCATCTAGTTAAAAATTGAGAAACATTGTTTATTAAATTAAAACTACTATGTATACGGTTCTTTCTATAAACATGTACCAGAAAAATAATAGAATCTCACCATCATTCATTATTACTTCCAGAATGACAGTAAATTCCAAATTTAGAACCGAACGTGTAATATAAAAATGTTAATTAAAGAGAGAAAATTTTCAGCGTATTCGTATGTTATCCGTCAAAAGTAATCCGTGATCGAATAGCATTTGATTTTATAACTCGTGTTTGATATCATTTGATAATATTAATACCACTTTTTATCAGCTGTCACCCAAAAATGTATTTTGTATTTATTTGACGAATTTGTACAATATTTTAGTGTCGAAAATAACTTCGAGAATAAACAGCATTACAATATTTAGCGCGATAATATATGATGCATTAAAATATCGTGTACTTTAAGTTAAGAAAAAAATAAGTGAAGTCATCTTGTACAACTTATTTAACTTTGATTGTTAACAGTTCCAAATATTTATTAAGAAAAAATGTTATGTTTTGTTTTTAAAGTATAAGGTGGAAAACGAACAGGCGACAACCTGAATTCGCAAAAATGGCAACGAATTTATCATGTTGTAGTTTTTTAATTTTACTTTGTTACACTGAATAAACTTTCTTTCTTACTCCTTCTGCTTTCATTACATTCGATTTTAAGGCTTCATACAATTTGATAGCATTAAAATTGGTACCATTTTTATCAGCTATTACGCAAAAACGTAGCATCATTGTTCGAATTCGATACAATATCAGTGTCAAAAAACTTTGAGCATATTCCATTAACATCTTTGTGTGTGTTAGGCCGTGTTTTAAATATCACAAGTGCAGGAATACAATTTTCGTTCCCCTGATTGTAAAATTCTGTTCTAATACAGACACAGAAGAAACTATTCACTTTACTTCTTTAACATTTACTTTGCATAAATTACTTTGTTTTAAAATTGTTTCATTTTCTAAGTATTGTTAACGTTAGATTCCTCTTTTAAATCGGAACCTTTTTTGAACTCGTTATTATTACGATTGTTACTAAAATAACAATCCTTAAGCCAGTCAATAAAATTACTGAGATTAGCATATCAAAACTCAATCTTATTTTATAGCTGATATAATATCAATTTGTACTTTATTGTGTAATACTTAAAATGTCTGGAATTTTTAATCAACAGACATTGATAACATTTTTCGCAGTTTTTTAATGAATGTAGAATTCTAACAAAAATTTATCATCGCCGAATTCTTTCAATCGATATTGATAAAGTCACTCACACACTATCTGCTTCGTATCAACTATATATTCATCATATATTTTCCAGTTACACAGTTAAGCAGTAACGTTTGCAGTTCAAACATTTAAAATGGCGCCTAATACAGTCGAAACAAGTTTCTCTCCTGACCCAGAAAGGGTGACAAGAGAAAATAAAAATCAAAACTTACCGGGACAAGAAGTTAATTACAATTTGTATATTTTTCAATCAACTTTGAATTTGTTAGCTAACATTTTAATTGGCACAGTAGTTGGTATTTCCTTGTTATTTGCGTTACGGAATGGTTTACCTTTGGGAGCGACTTCGTTACATATTGTACTTTGTGTTATTGGGGTAAGTTAATTTTTAATATTTCTTGATCTTTGGTACAACATTTATATTCCAACTAAACCGTAAACGAATAGTAAGTTAACAAAATGTTTGGATATATTAGATTTATTTAGGTCGCAGAGTAGCCAGAAAACACATTTCTAAAATTTAAGGTGCAAAAAAATTAAAAACAGAGATAATTTGTAAACTGTTTATTATATTATTTATGTACTATTTTTTTCAGTACCAACTGCTTATGGCGCAATCGATTCTTAGTCTATCCGGCAATGGTTGGTCTTCAAAGCTGAGGCTTGTGGACAAACGCCGTGCACACTGGATCTTACAAATTCTAGGCTCCGGACTCGCTTTAGCCGGATCCTTTATTAAAATACTCGACAAAACAGTACATTGGAACACGTATCATGGACAATTCGGTAAGAAATTACGCTGCTTGAAGTATTCCAATATTAATTTCCTTATGTTCTCTTGTCTCTTTTAAAATCAGTTTTCTCTGCTTCGGTTCAATTTTTGTTGACACACAATATTGTCACTTGTATGTACGTTTTCTTTAAATAATAGTATTGCGTCTTTTTTATTAATCTGTGTCTTCTTTTGTTTTTTAATTTGTTTTATATTTCTTTTTCAGCCTTGGTAGCAATGGTATTCACAGTGGCCTGTCTTTTCAATGGTCTAACGTCATTATACGCTTTCGAATGGCGGAGAATTTTCAACGGATCTATTTCAAAACTGACACATATATGTTTCGGAATCGTAGCATTTGGGGCTGCATGCATCAGTCTTTGCTACGGTTTCGATAAGCAGTTTTTCAGAACTTGGGCGTCGGAAGATTTTACAAATGCCCTAATAGCATTTACTGGAATCTTCGGTTTTATAATTTTGACAAATCCATTTGTAACATTTTTCAGAAAAGCAGTAACAGTCGTTAAAAAATAAGATATTTCTTTTAGATTATTAAGTTACACTAGTATCTTCATGATTTTATTTATCTTTATTCGCTTTGTTTTTGTTTTTTTTTTATTGTACAAAAGCTTTGAACTACCAATATACTAAAGGAATCTCAAATTCATGTATCAATATAATTATTGGATAACGATTGTATTTTACTTACATGGAATACATCTAAATTTTATAACATTTTATAACATACTTTATACGAAATCTATTTATTTAAGGAAATAATATAACAGTAAATATACAGTATATACTTATATTCGATGTTTACTTTCATTTTATCTAGGTTATAACCTATAAACTGTGCCCTCTATGATAGATTTGTATAATAAGATAATTATAACTAAGAAATCCAATCATTTACATACTTATTACGGTTTATATAAAAGTTGTAACAATATAAAAATAAAAAAATAAGCGACAAAATTTAAATCCAGATATTCTCTATTGTCTAATAAATTTAAATAAGTAGAAATCCACTTTCTGTTAACAAATCTTAATTTTAAAAACATTCAAAAATTTTCTTATGAAAGTTTTCCCAGGTCTAATTACTACAATTGCAGTATAAATACAGGTTATGCAAATCATAACTATTGCCACATCTAGAGAGGCCCATTTTTTAAATGAATTCTTATAATAACCAAAACATAAGCATACTGATGATATCACAAAGGCAGCGGTTCCGCATAACACATGATTCATTTTTGCAATCTTAATTGTATTTCTTCGTCCGTTTGAAAAGAACGAGATTGTTCCATTGATAAGACTGATACTGGTAAAAATTAACGCCGCTAACGCTGAAACAATAATCTTACTGATATTATAAATGTTAATGTTTAGATGGATGGATTTTTGTCAGAGTTTGTAGCCTAAACGGCTGAAAGGATCTCGATTAAATTTGGCATGTACGTAGAGAAGAGTCTGGAAGAACACATAGGCTACTTTTTTAATTTCACGCGGACTAAGTTGCGGACGACAGTGAGTTTTTAATATAATACAAACCTATTGCTCACGTATTCGTCCGTGCGGTATTAAAATATGATGAAGCTTTCTAATAGTAAACAAATTTTTTAAATCGGCCCAGTAGTTTTTGAGTAATTTCATGCAATGTACAAGTCTTTCTTGTTTGTTTTAGTATAGATCTACTATTTAATAAATCTCATCTTTATTATTTGGCTCCAATTATTTAAAACGTACAATAATTGACATTATATTGTCTAATCTCATGACAATAAAATTAAGGTAAAAGTCCAAAGGAAATGTAAAAACTACGGATCATGGCAACACTTGTCTCGCTAATTGATAAATAAAATAATCAGTACAAGTCTAGTGTATATATCATAAAGTGTACTACGAAAATTTCGTTATATCTGGTAAGTTTAAAAGCCAAATTGATTGAAAATATTTAAATATTGAAAATGATTAATCTTACCAAGTTTTCCATGAATTGATGTAAAATTAACGGATTTTTCCATCATCATGATTATAGACCCAGCTATAGCCAGTACTGAGCCAATTACTTGTAGAGCTACATGCAGACGCATTCTGTATAGAGCTGGCAATTGATAAGTCCACGCATTATTTTCGTTTAGTGTAAGAATTGCATGTGACATTAGCAATTGATACTGTAATGAAAGATAAGTTTACTTTTTATTTTATAAATTTTAAAGTGGCAAAAGAGCAAGAGGCCACCTGAATCCGCCAAAATGGCGAAGTGACCGGTACCCATAGACATTGGCAATAGCGGATGCGTTGCCTACTCTTAATCGACGGAGGAAGAAACATACATAAAGAGGATATTTCTTCTTTCTATGCATCTCCTCCAACGTCAACTCCACGTTCCCTTCCTATCCATTTCTTAAAATAAAAAGAAAATGAAAAGGGACTAAGGTTGGGCATTTTACTTGTGCATATTATGTTGTTTGTAACGCTCGTATCGTATCCGCTTGTTTACTTAAACGCCATAAAGAGTCTGGTATAATGGAATAAAATTTAACAATGAATACAAGTGTTTTAATACTATCTGATCTTATCTCATATACATGAAATATCTGATAAGGCTATGCTTATGTCATCCAACCAAAACAGCATTTATTTTTCGCAAGCCGAATGATTTATTGAATTGATAACCGTATCAATGATAGCTGTCGATAAAAACGCAGGAAGTTAGTCTTACTGGCAAAAGTGGAGCCATCTCGTTTCAAATTATTGATACAAGCATGATTATATTGTGAAATGTTTTTGTTACAACTAGATGGCGTTACTTTATCGTAAATCATCTGTGCAAAAACACTGTGATATAAAAATTTAATTTAAATAATAATAAATAGCTATCGGAACTAGTCTTTATGAATAAAATAGTGCATTATTCAAACCTTTTTCTCGTAAATATTTTGTGAACAAAAAAAGGAAAACGTGTACGAGGTCTATAACACATTGTCGTTAAGATTTATTTAAAAAAAATTGACACTTACCCCAATAACACATAATCCAACATGTAATTGAAAAGCACTTATTGAAGTTGATTTAAATGCAAACCATAATGCCACAAATACGTTAGCACCAATCAGCATATGAGCCACAGAGTTTAAACACCCACGAATTGTCAACCATACAGTTATTGCACGATTATCATCAATTCCATCGACAATTTGATCTTCATTTTGAAATTCTGAGTCTAAAAGGCTATCCCTCTCCATTTTATTCACAGTATTATTTACACTTCACACAAAATAAAAGCAAATGAATCCTTTCATCTTACACGATACAAGGAAAATAGTTATGCATAACATTTATCCAACATAATAACGTCAATAAAATTTAAACCCATTATCCTTGGTCTTAGAGTTTCTTATTGATGTTTAAAGAAAAAATTCTTAAGATTGCCTCCAACTACTCAAAGATCCAACTGTGACTAATCGGTATCAATACACTGTTTATATTGCAACACGTAAGACAAATCAAAATACAAATTTGTTCTTTTGCTATCTCTAGTAGGCGACAAGAAATTTATAACTCTGCGTAGATAAGGATTCTCACGTATTCTTGATAAGTATTATTTCTAGAGCTTGACCTAGCATCTGATAACATTTAATTATGATTAAGTTTTAATTTCAGTAGGTCGACTAGCTACATTTTAAATGTTGTATTGTAACGACTGTGTACGAATTTATTTATAAAATATATTTAATAAGTGTAATTCTTGAATTTTTAATTTTACATCTGTACTAATATAATAAAGCGTAAAAACATACTTCTTTGTTGCCTAAGATGTCAGCAATCACATCATATTTTCGAATAACTATTTTTGTCATAAAAAGCCCTACACTTACGTCACGCTTTAGGCTATATATTTTCACGCCTTTAAACTTAGGGGTAAATATTTTGGCTAAAAACCCTAATGTAGGAAAGAGACCATAAGTTGTTGCCAACACCAAAGAAACAAGTTTGCCATGGTTTGAAAACATGTCATGTCATTTTGACATTTGTAATTGATAATTTGACAAATGTGAACAATAAAATGAAATTTTTAAATTTTATGAGGATGAAGTTGCACGGGTACAGCTAGTAATAGATACATCTTAAACTCTTTTACAATATTACTGACATAAATGAAATAAAATACATTTAAAAACATGTAATCAATATTTAAATAAACTTCTAAATGAGACCAAAGTAATCACAGTAGTGTAAACACAACAGAATGTGATTAAGAAAGAAATAACACTTGACCCAGGTAACCAATCTTCAATACATGGTCTGTACAAACCGGAAGTAAAACAAACAGACGAAGCTATAAAACCTAATATACCGGTAAGGATGTGAACGTACTTTATGAAGATGACAAATATTCCTTGGCCATTCGCACATAACCCTGTCAAACAGCTTAGGAAGATTAAACAACCCGCAGAATGTCCTGGAACCAAAAAATAGATTATAGCGAAATTTGCAGTAATACGGTTCTTTGAATGTAAGACAGACAGTCAAACTAATCTACCCACACGTTATGAATTCTGAGACTTCTATGAATTCCAGTATTATAAGAATGATAACGTATCAGAACTACAATTTTTTTATTCTAAAATACAATACAAAATAACATACCACATGTAGCATGTGTAGTCAATTCCGCGCCTCTATCCGCAAGTATTGTTATAGCACCAAATGTAACACAGAAAATACCGAATGCACCCAAAAATACATGTTCAAATTTTTTATCTCCTCTATTCATAGTAACTGTTGATCCATTGTAGTTATTCAGACTTAACATTGCAATTGGAATACATAGTTGGAACTGTAAAGTAATGATTTCATAACATAGACAAAACTAATAATACCAGCTACTATTAAAAAAATGTTCATAATCATAGATTCAGCTAACAATACATCAATCAAAAGCAACATGGATAAGACTTCAATCTTTCGTATATAAAATGAAAATAATGGAACCATCTTTTTATAAACGGGATCAAACAAAACAAACTAGTGTAGAAATAACTAAAGAATACATTTCTATGCACAACTCAGAATAAAATTTATCACACGTTGAGGTCTTTAGACCAGAGTTATCTATATGAATACTAAATTCCCGTAGGTTTAGCATATTACATATTAGGAAATATAATTACTAACCCCAACCATACATAAAAATATATGCAAGGTAGTTAAGATGTTCGACTTAAAACTCAATGCGTAAAACAATATCATCACATTGTTGATTCCAATAAACATTTGTGACAGAGCAATAAACGCTGCTGTCCATCTTTTAAGCAGATATATTCCTTTAGGAGATTCAACAAGAATAATTTTCACTTTTCCAACAAACTCACGAATGCGGTCTTGCGAACTCTTATATTCAACATTCCCTTGACTGATATTCGGTGGAGTTTCCATTCTAAGTGTTAAAAAATAGAGTAGAAAGGGTAAAAAATTGTTTGATAAAATTTCTTGGCGCTGAAAGGAAAAGTGACATTGGATGTTTTCCAAATATTTACATCCACCAAAGAGTTTTTATTTACCTTCACAGATAGCAAGAACCTTTGGCAAGAACAGATAAACATATCAAACGAAATGTGTTGATACGATAAAATGAAGATTTGTATATGATCTGATGTAACCTTTTTAGATAAAACCGTTGATATTTTGATAGCAGGGTGTTCATAAATCCTCCCTCATGCTGGACAAATAGATTTCCGTTGGATTATAAATGTATGTAAAAGAATTAAACATAATCGTACTATAATTTCAATGCCATCACAAAATAAACAATAAAATAACTCTCTTATTAAACAACTACACGATCACTACAACAAATTAATCTGAATTATAATGTTCGTGAGGTTTCTTTACCACGCTTGGGTTTTTTTAGCTTCCCATATTTCGGCAGTTGCATGCGCCATGTTCACGGGCTGACTAAAGTGATGCGATAGTGTGAAAAAACCCGTATCTTACGAACATTATAATTGTAAAAGTCACGACAGATTAAAGTTATAAATGAAGTTGCAAAAAAAAGATAAATATGCGTTTGTGTTCTTAAAGTTTCATTTTTACGTCGACACATCCATTTTAGAAGTGTCATTCAAAATTATTGTACTATGTATGGAGCAAGTTTTTATCTTCTATATAGCAATACAAGTAAAGAAATAGTATTTTCCTTAGCTAATTAGCTAATAACAAATAGTTAGCTATAGCTTTGTTAATTAAACACTAAATTTCTCTTACATTTAAACACAAAATTCTAATTTACACTTATTAAAATGGCAATCTAATAAATAACGTAAAATGTACCATAAAGTACTAACTGAAGAAATTAATTCGATTCTTCGCAAAGCAATTATCTTTAGTCACGAAGTCTAGAGATTCATGGCGTTTATTACCAAATAAATCAAAACAGGTAGACACGTGAACTATTCAATGAACGATAAAAAAATATATCAAAGATCGAAAGTGGTAAAATATATATGTAGTATTCACAAAGAGTTAAAAACCTTTGAATTTAAACGAATTGGACATCATACTGATTATACAAATATTATAAATGAGAAAGTTTAGATGGATGGATATTTGTTAAAGTTTGTAACCTAAAAGGCTGAACGGATTTCGGTAAAACTTGGTGGCTATTCGATTTTGTTTTTTTTTTAATTCCACGCGGACGGAATCGCGGGCGAAAGCTAGTTAATAATAAAGGTAACTAGTCTAGACTAACAGAGCAACAGTTGATTAGCATAAATTATACAAAACAATATTATCGTTTGGAGTTCTGAAGAAACTCTGGAAATTCCAGAAAAAAAATCGATACCTATACTAATGTTATAAAGAGGAAACATTAGCATTTTATATGTATTTAAATAATTCAAAAACTACTGGGCCGATAACAAATATTCTTTCACCGTTAGAAAGGTGAAAACAGGAAAATTTATCTGTGAGTGACATGGGCTGTATTTTTTTTTTATTTCACGTGGCCGAAATCGGGAGCAACAGCTAGTAGTTAATAAAGTAGTAACGTAAATTCATCACAGTAGTGGACAAAATCTTGATGCTAAAAATTTTGTTCTATCAAGTCCAAACTGTCGTGTGAATCGTACAGTGGGAGGCGAGACCCCTCTTGTTAGCTGAATTACTTGAAAGCATAGTCTTGTTTTCGCGCATAATAAGCCGACGGGAACAGATGCGTGGGTTTCCAAAATGTATCGATGTGTGTAACTTGACTAAGTATGCCATAAAGTTTTATGGTACTTTGTTGTTTATGTAGAAAAAATACTTTTGCAAAATATTCATATTTTATAATTTATGTGAGACATTATGGTAATATTCACTCTTTTATTCATCATTTAATATTTTTTTCATAAAAGCTGTAATTTGATTTAAGATTAAAAAACAGTATTGTATAGAGCCAGGTAGACGTGTTTTTTTAACTAACGAATAGTTAAAACTAAAGGCATATGGCGGGATTAAGTTGAACATTTGCTTGTAGAGTTTCAAAATAATATACATAAGTTAATAGTATACATGCGGGTGTGAAGTCAACCAACCCGCACTTGGCCGGCGTGACTATGGTCTAGTCACCCCTTACTTAGTATAGACTCCGAACCCGTAAATGGGGAAGTATAGTAAGCTGGTGATGATGATGACGAAACAAGTGTTTTATTACCCTTAACATGAAGATTATGATAAAAATAAGACTTTGTATAACACTACATTTGAACATAAAATACTCGAGCACAAAAACTCTTGTGTAAATTTGAATGCAATTCGTGCTCCGTTTATTTAGCAGAGGGGTTTAGATTTAGTGTGAAATCTGACTCGGGCTGGTGCGACAATAAACCACTGTCATTTGGACGGACATCGCGCACAACTGCGGTAAATGTACGAGAGAGCAAAGTCGCGATAATCTACGATTCAGAGCACTGCCAGTTATTACTTTCAGCTTTTCAATCTATGTCTCAAATTTACGAACATTTAACACATTATCGCTTTGAATTTCAGAACAAAATATTTATAATTCGTTACCTTGGACACATTTAATCACAAAGTGTGTTACACAAAAGTTAATTAAAATCAAAGATTTTTGGACATCTTAAATGCGGTAACAGTTGAAATCTAAACTTAATAATACGTCACCGTTCGTTCTTGCTTCAACAAATACTCTTTCCTTGTATCTGCTTTCCATAATTTTGTTTATAAAACCTTTCATGTTATATTTAATACGACTAAAATATTCAAAATAAAATAGCATATAAGTAAATATAAAAGAAATGTACAGTATAAATTTATACTAATACGAGTATAAGAAAGAGGAAAGATTTGTATTTTTGCATGTATTGAAATAGCTCAAAAACTACTGGGCCTACTTTAAAATTTTTTCATCTTTAAAAAGCTACGTTTGTAAGTAACATATGCTATATGTTTTACTATTTTTTAATTTCATGCGGACGAAGTCACAAGCAACAGCAAGTAATAAATAAATTGCTTAGTACATTTGCACACCTTGTGAATATAGCAGGAGCACTAAGAATGTTTGTACAGCGCTGGCATGAATTCCTAAGGAGACAAATTACTCCGGTGCAGCACTGACCTACTTCCCTCCTCCCACTAGCGAATGCATTTTATTACCGACTCTTCGGAAAACTTCGAAAAATGACATCGAAATTAATAGCTTTATCCACAAAAGGAATATTCAAGTTTTTTCTTGACATCTAAATTTATAGAAGGTAAATAGCATTCCCAAAAAATATATCCTCAAATGGAAAAGAAGCTTAACTTATATTCAATACTACTTTTTGGTTGCTACTCGGTCAGCGTAGAATTAAAAATAAAATCAAGTAGCCTATTTGTTCTTCCAGAGTATGCTCTATATCTACATATATCCAATTTTATCGAGATCCTCTAAGCCGTTTAGGCGGCAAACTCTAAATAACATCCATCCAACCAAACATCCAAAGAAACTTTCGCACTTATAATATTAAGTAAGGTTCTAATTAACAGCTCTATCTGCGACATCGTTATAATTTAGTTAAAGATTAAATAGAATTAGCGTTATTTGGAAAGGAACAAATAAAAGAGAAAAATGCAAACAATTACTCAGTGCAAATAAATTCGGGGGCGTGGGGCCGAAACGACCCCCTAAGGGACTGGAGTCGTGAACTTTGTGATTACGTCGCGGCTTTATAAGCCTGTTATGTTTTACGTCCCAAGTATTACGGTTTGTGGTATCTTTTAGCTTTGTAATATAGAAGTAATGCATACGTGATGACATTCGATGCGACTCGAAATATTAGCGTAGGTTCTCACTGACAAAGCCAATCGTACAAGAAAGAAAAAATTGTAGACTCTTTGCCAAATTTATTTTTAAATCATTGCTTTTGTAAAAAATAAATAAAACGGGTACCAAGATATTTGGATTTAGATTGAAAGTAATGTATTTATTGATGCGATATTTTATGAAATAATGAAGAATTCTTTGCTCATACTTGAGATGAAGATCGGGGCCGAAAGTTCAAATTAACATTCTTAAAGTTGTTCGCGGTGCGGTGGGAAGATTAATGATCGACACCTGAAGTTGAACTTCGGCACTTTATCAATACGCATCCACGGAGGGACAAAAATAATTAGAATAATAAAATAAAGAATTAACTCCTCATACCACTGGCAATTAAGTATTGGAGTACGTTGTTTAAATTTTTAAAAACATATTTCATAAAAACTAAAAAGAAACCAACGTCAGAAAGTATACACAGGATGATTCTGCGCAGTTTCATTTTCAGGCTACCTTTGTTCCGCAGATGGGTAGTTACAAAATTTAAGACATTTCATTGTAGCTGGTCTGTGTTACAAAAGATATGCCCCGGGTGAGGATCGAACTCACGACCTTAAGATTATGAGACTTACGCGCTGCCTACTGCGCCACCGAGGCTATGTAAATCTACTAAACTATTAACTATATGTTTTAGGAACACTTAAGAAGTAATCCTCTCGGTTTAAAAAATATAAAGGTTTTTATCCATTTAGTGTATTTTTGAAGCGAAGTTTATATTTCGTTCACCTACATTTATATTAACTTCATAAAACAATAAAAGCGAGGGGAAACTCTACCTTACATTTTACTACTTTACAGAAATAGGGCCATAATCCTTAATATATCTTAACGTTATCTACTCTTTGACACTCAGGAGCCCCGTTTAAATAATTTGCAGAAAACATTTTCATGATACGTAAATTTTATTTTTAACATTCAACACCTTAGTAACTCACAATTGATATATTAAATAAACAACATAAAGTTTATCATGGCTAATATTAAAGGAAGTTATATCCGTTTACGCTTTTCCCCTTTTCTTTGGCTTTACTACGAAAAGGCCCATAACACTCACAGAATTACATCAACCAACCAATATAAAAGACGGCCGACTTTAAAAAAAACTAACGTGAAACAGATTAGTCTTTCTCTGGTAACACTAATTGGGTGAATATGTCGAGAACACGATAAACCAGAAAAA